AAGTGAGGGCAGCAGGAGGCACTCTCAGCCCTCGCCCATCACAGGACCCGAAGGGAAGGACTTGTTGGTGATATTCCTCCCTCCACCCCCTCCAGGCCACTCCCGCCGTTGCTGGACAGACACCTCTGGCTGCCAAGGCTGCAGGCTCCCAATGTGCAGTTCTCGGTTGTTCTGGAATAAACCCATTTGCTGAGATACGCGGACTTTTTGTTTAGGTCCACGTACCCTTGTCACCTTGGACATGGAATTCTCTCCAGGAAGACACTTTAAATCCAGAGCTATCCCTTATTTTTTTGAATCATGCATGGTTGACTGAGATATAACTAATAACAGAGGTAATTCATTTTTTAATATAAAAAGCAATTCTTGTTTTAAAGGTAGGGATGAGAATTTCAGATATCAATAAAATTAAGGTAGCTGGTATGCATAATTTTAATCTAATGGCTTAAGATATCAGTTCTTCACCTGGACAGAAATATATTTCCTTCATAAAAAAAATAACCCAATAAAGTCCATCCCTGGTGGCATTGATTGAAAATAAAGTATACATATATTTGCTTAAACTTAATAATATCTCTGTTCTCATTTTTTATTTAGATGCTTCAGGTAACGTCTGATAATTATGAACAAAGATTACAAAACAGGTTATTTCTTATCTTCTAGAAGTTAACCGACTAAGTGAACAAAGAAACCACTCTGTAGGTGGTTGTAAACATTGCAAAATGAATCATTGCACATCTCCTCTACGCTGCACAGAGGAAGCTGTGTGTAACTCTCCAGGCAAAGCAGTGAGCTTCTATGTGGCCTTTATGCTTCTTGGATTCTGCTCTCACCATCCCCAGGTATAGGTATGGTGAATGCATTGCTCACATTATAAGACGCTAAAATACAAATTGACCGAACGCTGTGACACACACTGACCACCAAGAGACAGGCACTCGATGCAGGATCTGACCCTGGTGGTCAGCGCACTCCCATAGGGGAAGCACTGCTTAGCCAGAAGCAGGGTTCACGGCCGGCGAGCACAACGATGGTGGTGGGAGCCTCTCCCACCTCCTGGGCAGCACTAAGGACCCTTTGGGGGATGCCTGACTCTCGGCTTAGGCCTTAGGGGTCCTGGACTGTGAGAGAACACAGTCTGGGCTGAGGGACTCCCCTCCCAGTACACAAATGTCCTACACTGGGCCTCTAGTCTATAATAACAAAAGCATAATATGCTAATTAGACAAATATCCTTCCAGACATCCTTATTTCTGGACAAAGCAGCAGAGGCAGTCAACAGCAGCAGTAGGCAGGGACCAAGGCCCTTGTATGAATTTAGTGCACCAGTCCTCTAGTATTTATATAAAAAGCTAAGTGACTGACATCCATCCGTCAGACCATCACACCTACTGACCGACCAGCTGGTACATAGGATGCACACTGGCAATTTAAAAATAAACATTGACTCGTGCATGCATGATACATATAAAGCTCTCACTGGTGCCAATCGCATTCATATTTTCCATCTATCATTGATCATGGTTGCTCTGATTCTAAAATATCCCCATCTGACACTGACCTCCCATTTAAATTAATTCAAAGACAGTTTCCTGTGATGCCAGCATTTGAGATGACTATTAATAAATCACAAGGACAAACTCTAGACAAAGTAGGAATATTCCTATCTGAACCCATTTTTGCACATGGTCAGTTATAATTGCTTTCTCTCAAGTTCAAAGAGCATGTGATGTTAAAGTTATAGTTGTAAATACTTCATCACAAGAGAAATCAGTCAAGCACTCTGAGTTTTCACTCTTAATGTGGTAAACAGGGAGATATTAGAATAAGTTTAATCAATGTATCAGTCATTGTATCAATGTTGTTTTCATATCACATCTTTGTTGTTGTTATATCATGTTGTTATTGTTTATTTATTAGGGGCCTGGTGCATGAAATTGATGCACAGGTAGGGTTCCTAGGCCTGGCTGGCAATCGAGGCCAATCTGTGGGGTGATCAACAGGGCAATCAGAAGGGGAAGCGGGGACAGCTTGCTGGCATCCACCTTGGCTGGCCAGGGGCCTGGGAGCTGGGAGCAGTTCCTGCCTTCAATGTCTGCCCACTGGTGGTCATTGAGCATCATACCAACTGGTCATCTGCCAGTTGTTCCACCATTCAGCTAATGTGCATATTAGGCTTTATAATATAGGATTAATTTATATATTATTTTCATATACATTTTACTAATTTTATTTCATCTCTGAAAATTCTATTATAAAGGGTGAATAGTGATATTAAAATATTTCTTCTAATTAATTTCCTTTTAATGTGCATGAATTTTTGCACCAGGCCATTAGTTTACTAATGGTTGTTGATAAACTGGATCATTTAAATGCTATTGGCTCTTTAATATGATTTGCATTGGAACAAATAGAGAATATTACCTTGTATGCTTTGGATTTTATTCCTTCAGTAATAAATTTTTCAGTTCTAAAAAAAAAAAAATCACTCTATTTAACAACCTTTGATAGATTAGAAAGTTCAGCCAACATAATCAACATATGACTGAGAATTCTGTTGGAACATATTGGTTTTACTTAATGTTTGTTTATTTATTTATTTATTTATTTTTCTAACACCTGTGCAATAGAGCAGCTAAAAACAACACTATTTCTCAATAACAAGATAGGATATCCTGAGTTTATTCATGTCTCTTATTCTAGGTTAACATTTTCATTTGTCTTCAACCTGATGTTTTTACTTTCCTTTAGGCCCTCCCTTACACTATTTCACAGAGGTGTGTTCAGATTTCAGACAATAAAGGAAATGGAATACATGGAAACAGGATAAAGTCATATGGGGGAAAAAATGCAAATAGAAAGATCATCTTTGTTTATATGTGAAGATGACCCTTCTGGCAAAATTAACTATTACGTTTTTCAGTAAAACTATTTAGTTTTTGTTTGTTGTTTTTTACTTTTTTGGAATAAACAATAAAATAACTAGAGTGTAGAAATAAAGAAGAAGGCAAACAGAGTTCTCAAGAACATGTCAGTTAGAGGTTTAACTAAGTTACACACAGCGCAGCAGTAGTTCCATCACATCTGTCCCAGCTTAACAAAACGGAGAAAGAAACTGAAAATGTGAGGAGTGAAGATCGGTTAAGCCCTGGGAAGTTTAGTTTCCAGATGGCAATGGGAGGCCCTGCTGCAGCCGCAGTGGAAGGAGGCCCCCGTGTGCGAAATGTTCACTTCACAGAGCGTCCCAGCGCACGGGCCTTGCACCAGTTATTGTAATTAGTCCAGGGGGAGAGGCTTCGCTGAGCGGAGAAGCTGTGGTTCAAACTGGGAGTTAGTAATTATTTTTAAGTGATATTTGCTTTGAGGAGGGAATTGTATCTCAATGTCACAGAAGGATGGAAAATTAATCAATGCTATTTCAAATTGATAACTTTGAACATGAACACATGAATTTGAAGCTAAGCCAAAGCAGAATTAAACAGCTCAAGGGAACATATCACCTAAGAGACACAAAAATTACTTGAAATTCAGGATAAGGGGATTTAGTTATATTATACCTGGATATCATCAAAATCTTCCTAAATGAATTTATTTGAAGCAAATATCTCAACAATGTTCATTTCTATTAGTTTTTCCTCATTTTTTAGACTGTTTTCCATGTTTGACATATTTAGTTTTATTATAGATAAAATTACATTTTTTATTAATCTACTAGAGGCCCGTCGCATGAAGATTTGTGCAATAGCCTTCCTTCCCCTGGCTGCCTGCCCCAGTTTTTCTCTGGCACCGGGACCCAGGTCTTTGCTCTGGTTACCACCTTTCGTCTTCACTCCCAAGGGAGCCTTCTCCATTCAGGCCAGAGTGCTGCTCCTGTAACTCCCTCCACCCCCTCTCCTCTCCTCATAGCAGGCATCTGACTCCATGCCTGCTTATGCAAATTAACCCACCATCTACGTTGGGTTAATTTGCATACTCACTCCTGATCGGTTGGTGGGAGTCATGGAGGTACAGTCAATTTGCATATTTCTCTTTTATTAGTGTAGATTGTGTTTTGACTTATTAATTTATCCTTTATACTGAATTGCATATCCCATTTGAGTATTTATAATGTTTGAGGGCAAAACATAGTACCCTCGTTCTTCTAAGCAGGGGTCTTCAAACTACGGCCCGCGGGCCACATGCGGCCCGCAGAGGAGTCTGATCCGGCCCGCCAGGTTTTTTGGGCAGTGAGCGCAGCCGAGGTGTTACAGTAGGAATTAGTAGTTCGTATAGTCCGGCCCTCCAGCTCTCTGAGGGACCGTGATCTGGCCCCCACTTTAAAAAGTTTGAGGACGCCTAATGTTACTAGAATTTTAAACTTTCAGATAAAGGCTTTAATACAAGTTATAGGTATTCATATACACTTGATCTAGACTGTACATTGGAAGCTAGTATTGCCCAGAACCAGAAACACAGCAGCAGTAATTTTAGAGATTAAAAAAGAAACAAGCAAAGTGCTCCAGAAAAGGAGGGCACTGTGATTTCTGTCTTTGTTAATCCTCACCCAAGGCTACTGTTTCTATCCGCCTTAGAGCAAGTAGAAAGGAGGGCAGGAGAGCTAGAAAGAGAGAAACATTGATGGGGAGAAACACACCCTGACCAAGGCCAGGGATCCAACCTACAACCCAGGTACGTGCCCTTGACTGGGAATCAAACCCTCAACCCTTGGGTGTACAGGCTGACGCTCTAACCACTGAGAAATACCAGCCCGGGAGGGAGTGCTACTATGAGCAGTAGGTTGGAAATTGGAAGAGATAGTCCAGTAATTTCAAATCAGACTTTTGAATAGTTCTAATATCTTCTGAAGGAGCACCATTACAACCGTCAGAATATGAAGAAGCACAGGCTGTGTCTGTGAGGAACATGGCGCCCCCATTCTGACTTGACCATGAACTGTGTCCCTCCTGTCAAGTGCTCAACAAACAAAGGCGGGCACAGAGAGGAGCAGACAGCGTGCTTACTGTGCAGGTCTGTGTCCTGGATGATGGCCGCCTCCACGTCCGCCCCGGCCACCACGGTGCAGGTGAAGGGCTGCTGCAGCAGTGCACTGAGCTCGCCGAAGGACCTCTGCCTCTGCAGCTGCCCCATGTAGACCAGCTTCCGGACCTTCTTCTGTAAGAGAGGAGGGGGGTGGGGGGCCGCTTAGGTCACAGACACACCGCTCCTGCGGAAATGCTGCCCACAGCCCTGTGTGCGGGGTTTAAACTGCACTGCCACTTCCTGCGACCAGAGCACACCTCTCCCAGCTGTGAGCTCTGTGACATCCGTGGACCACTGGGCTGGAGGAAGCTGGAAGCACTGCCACTCAGTGCAAACTGCGTGTTTGCATCTGCCCAGGTGCTTAGGCAATGCTGGACTCAGTCCGTTCCTCAAGGCCCGAGGCCAGCATTGTAAGCATCGCTCACCTGGTGTGTCACCTCCGACTCAGGGATGAGTTGGTGAGAGGCAAGATGAAAAAATAAGGAAAGGAACCGTAAGAAGAGAGGGTAGCCCCCGGGAAAGAAGGTGAGAGGAAATCTAAAAGGGGCCACAAGCCAGGATCTGCCTGGGAGGTGTGTCCCTCTTACAACCAGCGTCCACCGCCTGCAGGTCGCCGGCACAGCAGAGCGCTGGGCTGCAGGGACCAGCAGGGAGGTGCCTGACCAGCCAGCAGCTCAGCCCAACTCCCCGCCGCCCCCCTTCTGCCCCTGAGCACTGCACAAACCCGCACCGCACAGACCCGGCCCGCGCCTCTCCCCCACGTGCAGGTTCTGGAAGGCACCATCCCGTCTTCCCCAGGCATGTGCCCCGGCCAGATGCCCGCAGCGCCCCTGCAGCAGGCCGGGCATGGAGCTCAGCCTCTGGCTGTGATGTTCCTGCAGGGCTTCGGCAGGCAGTTCACTTTGTGTCTCCTGAGTGAACACACAGTGAAATTCCTGGCCATGTGTTATGTGTGTTTCAGCCAACCTGATGCCTCATAGTCATACTTTGTGGTGATAACTGGCATTTTTCTGGTAAATAAAGACGTTCAGAGTCTTTCAATGTGCTCATTGGCCATTAGGCTCACTGGTCATTGATATTTGGTCACAACTCAGTATATCTGACAGCTCATCTTACATTCTGGTACAACTCACCTTACAACTCAGGTGTGGGGAGCCTAACCAAAAAGAGTGAAAATATTGAACGGAAATGTCGCAAAGGAAGACACACAAATAATGTAGCGAATGAGCAGTGGAAGGATGCTCAGCACCCTGTGTTCCCTGGCGTAGGTTAATAGGGTAAAGAGAACTCGAGGATTTGGAACTCACCACTCGTCTTGGATGTAATCTCACGAGTCCTACAATATCTCTGTAAATGTTACAGTGTCCAGAATTAATATAAACCACGAAAGGAATTACAGTTCCACTCTCCACTATCACTGCAAACAAAAGAGATAGTTTATTATTCACACACTCTTCTCTGTAAACAGTGCCATGCTAATGCCAAACTGCCAATGGTTTACCCACTGGCTTGCACAGTCCCCGAGTGGGTCACATCCCGAGCCTGATGGAGTGGGTTAGCACTCTCCTTTCTCTCTTGGCAGGGTTAAAGCAAGGTCCTACATGAGCCATAAATTCTATAAATCCCTGAGCTCCACTCTTTCACCTTGAAAATGGCAAAATTAAAAATCCCATTCTATACGCAACGTGGGGTAATTAAGTGATATAAAGTACTTAGTACGATGGCTGGCACCTACGGTGGTATTACATAGTAAATCATGCTGTTAATATCATTATTTTTTGCTCAAATTTGTGAAGCTACCCTAAGATCAAGATCTAGTTGAAGGTGAACTGGATAACTATATATATAAAAACCCAGTGACCTTTACACCAGAACCACCAGAACTGGTCTCTATGAGGCACACTGACCACCAGGGGTCAGACGCTCAACACAGGAGCTGCCCCTGGTGGTCAGTGCACTCTCACAGCAGGAGTGCCCCTCAGCCAGAGGCTGGCGAGCACAGCGGTGGTGGGGAGCCTCTCCGGCCTCCATGGCGGCACTGAGGAGTGGCGAGCCAAGGATAAGGAGCGAGCAGGCGGGTGGTTAGGAGCGAAAGGTCCCGGATTTCAAGAGAGCATAAGCCTGGCTGAGGGACACTCCCCACCCCCATGCGTGAATTTTGTGCATGGGGCCTCTAGTATCTTTCTAATTAGCCATGTACTGATTAAAAAGCAATCGGAATAAAAACCTCCTGATATACATAACATTTTGAATTATCAATATAATTTAATTTAAATAATAAAATCAACTAGTCATGCATAAATTAAAATTGCTATTTCAAATTGGCTTTTATTTTGTTCATTTTGTAGCATATCAATATTTTTTCTGCAAACCCTAAAAGTAATAGAGAAGACATATGTATAGACACATGATTTTTCAAAGAGTGGTATTTTATTGTGTAAATGTACCACAGAACTTTTATAATTAAAAAAATAAAAATTTTGATTATTCAAAGGTTTTATTGACTCCGCCCTATACTGTTTCCCACACCCAAAAACTGCTGGCGACATGCAGTCAGCTCCTTGCCCTTCCCTCAGGGGACATAGAAAATGACACACAACATGAAAAGACCCAGAGGATTATAACAAAACTTTAATTGAAAAGATTTAGTCATGGACTACACAGATGACATTGTATTCATTATTTTTAAAGGTCAGATTCATTCATGTTCAGCCAAGAAAGTTGATTTGTATTTAAAAATCAGGCTTTAAAGATCCCCAAAATAATTCAGACTGACATTCTAAAACACTGTAAGAAGTGCAAACTTGATTTTATCCTAAGCGTAAGTAATAGGGAGAAAAAAAGAATTCAGAGACAAATATGGGGCGTTCTTCTTTTGCATCTCTGTTGGTTATCACAGGCCAGGAAATACCCCAAGCCTAATAAACTATTCTATCCCAATCGCCTTTCCCTTTGGAAGAAGCAGGCAAAGGACAACACCTTCCTGGCTGTCTATATCATCACTGGGGCAGTGCAGGGCCTGTTTCCATGGAAACTAGTGATTGGAAAGACAGTCGCAGGACATCTTCTAAACTGGGCAAAGCCAGGCCCTTGGCAGAGGCCTGCGCCGATTTGGGAAAAGGAGTGTGTCTGGGACCAGGAAGGTGGGCGCAGCTCCAAGCAGGTCACATGTTCACTGTGAGGCACAGAGGACACAGGGTCTGGAAGTGCGTGCACCCTTCTGCGTAGACGTAAAGATGTTTGCCTTGCCGCCTGCTCCTGAGTATGCTTTGTGTTCTACCAGGACCCCTCACTTGGGGGATCACCTTATTTCTAACAATTTGGGCACTCATCCGGGATACTGTCTGTTGCCACAAAGAAAATGGACCCCTCTCCTGAAGAGGTATACCCCGCTGCCAAGTTGCCACAGTCTTGGTGACGAGGAACAGCCATTACCCCTGGGCCAACCATGAGCTCGGAATAGAGAGTCAGCCAGCCACACGGGAAGAGCCCAAGCAAGACCCACCACAACCAGTGACCTCAAGCATGAGCAGGTGGGAAATGGACTGGGTACTGCTTTGGTGATTGGGTGTCCTCAGAGGTCGGGCGTATGTGCCTGGAATGTGTCTTGGACAAAAGCAAGTATGGAGTTCTGATCTGTGGTTCCATTCTCCTGTGAGGGAAGTAGCCAGAGAGGGACCAAGCAGATCTCGGGGAGCACGAGCAACCTCCAACATGGGAGTTGCGTACATAGTCACAGGGGACCAGCCATGGATGGGAAACAGAAATTCTAGGCCTACGGAATACATTCCCCTGAATGGTCCATTGGGAGAAGGCTGAGGTTCTGGGGAGACGAGTTCCCAAGCAGGGACAGGGACATTGCTCTTGGCGTGAACTTTCAGTGTGTGCGGCTGTAGAGAGGGCGTTGATGTTTTATGTCTGCTTTTTTGTGGTTGTTTAATTAGCTAGTGAAATTTCTGTCTGTATGTCTGTGATGCAATTTTTGCTTACTTTTAGAGAATTTAATTTGCTCTTCCCTGATTTATGATTTTGCTGTGCATGGTTAAAATGTTATGATTATAAGATTAAGGGGGCACTCGCCTTGTTTCTAACACAGGAAGGAACAATGTGACGAAGGCGCCTATGGTGCTTCTCTCAGGGGAGTTTCCAAACATGTTTTCCTCACAGGTTGATCAGTTTGCTTCCATATGTTGTTAAGAAAGATCCCGGTTAGGAAGGAGTTTGCACTTACTATTTCTGTACAAGTCCACTGAAGATACTTTAACCACTATTAACCAGCACTTCTCCATTATTAAGAAATGTATGTTCTTGACATGGGTGGTACGCACACAGCACAGTACACTGATGTTGTGTTGTGGAACTGTATACCTGAAACCTGAGTGATTTTACTAACAGCGTCAGCCCAATGCATTCAATTTTTAAAAAATAAATTTATATTTATGTGCAGATAAATACATTTATGGCTAAGTAGAGACAAATCTTAAATAGAAATGCATATCAGAAGAATTGATCATTGTTTAATTATGTAATTTTAAATTCATGGTACATTAAAATAGGTCATCCTTGCAATGAACACTATATATAAAATCTTCATGTAGATTAAATAACTGTCACTTTGCATAAGAAGTAAAAAAAACAAATGAACATTTCTCTAATCTCACAAATTTGTGATTTAGTAAAAAGATAAGTTATTGACAGAGAAAATCCAGAGAAAGACATGGAAGAAATTTTATATTTCAATGTGCCTCAGAACTACTCCAAGTGCAGAACTTACCAAAACAATGCATCTATAGGATATTTCACAGAAATGACAGCGTATGACTCTCCCCACTGTCTGGCAGATGAACAAGGACCACAGGTGCTGTCGAGCCCCGAGTCTCCCTCCTCCCACTCTCCCCACGCTCCCCCACTCTCAGTTTGACAAACACTGGGCTCAGACCATTCACAGAGGGATGGTCCAGGCTGGATGCCCAGCCCACGACCAAGGTAGTCACACCCTTCCTTCACTGTCTCTCTGGCTCAGGTCTCCTCCTTAGTGAGATAGCCCTGACTTTCTACTTTGGCCACAGTGCAGCCTGCTCCCTAGCTCTTCCTGGTGTGGTGACACCTGACATCCTCTCTAATTTCCTTCTTGTGCTCACTGTGCTATCCCCTTTGGCTCCATTGAGACAAGAACCTTCATCTTTGGTTTCCTCCTGTATCTGCATAAAAACCACTCAATAAATGTTTGTGAAATTAGTGCAAGATCTCCATTTTAAATTGCAGTTTCCCTCAACAGGTTAACTAAGTGTAAGAGGAAGCTCACATATGGTGGCTTTGAGTTTTATGAAACTCTGCATAAAATATTTTATAATATCTGAAGTGATGAAAGGAAAAAAGTCAAAACCCAGGAACAAAATGTCAGTGCACAGTCACAGGTGAGAAAGGTCTGGATCCAGCGGCAAAGTCGGAGAGAATGGATGTGGCCAGTCTGCTCCGAAGGCCCCGAAGGGCATGGGTCACAGGGTGAGCTGGCACAGCCACTCCTGGAGCCTGGAGGCACCTTCACTCCTAGTCCTGCTGCTGCGTGGCAGGGGGAAGTCTGAAAACTGCTAACCAGAGCTCCTGGTGAATCAGAAACTTATTCTGAGTCTAAAATCCACTCCACCTGGGAGACACTGAGTTTCATTTTAAACTAAACTCTGTCTTTACAACTCCACAGGCTTTGGGGAAAGGAAACAAATTCTTTCTAGATGAGTTAACATTCAGCCTAGCTTCAAAGATCCCACACACATCTGAAGAGACTACAAGCTCCCAATAGACTCTACATAATGGACCCCATTATCCGAGGTTTTGGTGGTCACTCAAGATTTTAGTTCTGCAGAAAAAAAGTAGCATTGAGCAAATTTGGTCAGGTGGCTGACCCAGAGAACTTCCTTCTGGGTTTGATCAGCAAAGAATTTCGGTGACAATACCTGTGATTGACTAGCTGACAAGTCACACAGAAATTGTATGATTACCATCTTCCAAAAATATTTCTGATTCACTGCTAACCCCCCGTTTTGTCTCCTGGCACTGTGATGAATCTTTGTACATACATACGTACATACATAAAAGGATGCTGAGTTAAACAGATATGTAGGTGTGTATACTTCACTTCAATGAACTATTGTAAGTTAGGACAAGTAAGTAATTGTGTGTAGCCTGACACGTGGAATTGGAATTCTATTTTCAGTTGAAACATCAAAATGACCTCATCTCACAGGGTTCTTGGGAGCACCACAGAGATCAAGCATCTTAGCCTGCAAGAGACAGTGCTGTATAAGTAGCACTAAGTGAAGAGATGAAAATTATTTCCATCTTTGTGTAGAAAAAGAAGTTTCTAAGTTTTCACCTGATAATCATATATTTTAATCATAGATTCTAGCTAATCATAGT